GCAGGTACAATCAGTTGAAGTCTGTTCTTTTTCTGCTATGGTAAAAAAACGCTTTCTAAGCAACTTTTACATGATTTAAAAGTCATGCTTTTGGAAAAGTGAACTTTTAAGAAATGGACTTCAAAAAATGAAAAGGCGCAGCCGACAATGGCTTTATGTGATTTGAGTCAACAATTAAAAAACAATCTGGAAAGAGTTTATAATTGTGGAATGTTAAAGGAATAGTACACCCAAAACATGATTAGCCTTCATTTTCTACTCACCCCCATGCTGAACAACACTCTGGAGTACTTTTTTGATATCTCAAATGCATCTGGAGATCTGGGAGGCTTCTTGCTGTCTGCTGACATTCAAATAATGGAGGTCTATGGCGCCCGAGGCAGAAAGGTCCATAAAAGTCCACAAAAAACGTGTCAATATTCCTCCATACTGCTCGTCCAATGTTTCCAAGTGTCCTGAGTGGGTAGCATCCAGAATTTACTCGAAACAAAGTCATTTAGAATGTTTTTAGAGCATCAACAGTAGTGTATAGGATTTCCTGAAAGCGCGTTCACCAGTCTACGGTAACCGCGGCAAACCAAACCAGATGAAAGTGCGCATTCAGCGTCTGCTCTGCCGATAATGCAAGCGTAGAAGAAGAAATGTGCTGTTTACCTGTGCAAAGAAAGAAACAACGAAAGAAAAATGTCTGAGGACTTCAGTGTTGAGGAAGAGCATGAGTTCTTTGCCGAGCTGAATGCGCTGGTTTGGTCTGCCGGCTTCCGTAGCGTCGTGATCGCGCAGGTGCGCGCTTTTAGGAAATCCTATACACTACTGTTTATGCTCTAAAAACATTCTAAATGACTTCGTTTCGAGTAAATTATGGACGCTACCCACTCAGGACACTTGGAATACATTGGACGAGCAGTATGGAGGAATATTGACACGTTTTTTGTGGACTTTTATGGACCTTTCTGCCTCGGGCGCCATAGACCTCCATTATTTGAATGTCAGCAGACAGCAAGAAGCCTCCCAGATCTCCAGATGCATTTGAGATATCAAAAAAGTACTCCAGAGTGTTGTTCAGCATGGGGGTGAGTAGAAAATGAAGGCTAATCATGTTTTGGGTGTACTATTCCTTTAATTATTTCGGTTCTTTAAGTGTGATAATATTTAGCCCTAACAGACATTATTGCGACATCTAGCTGTTTTAGAGACATAGTATAGAAACCGAAGTGTCTGACATAAAAAATTGGTTTCAAACTATAGATATTGGAGATAAATATCTCTTGTAGTATTCTGATTGAGGATCTTTGACAACTTATGCTATTAATCTGATAAAGAATGAGTACATAAAGAAATGAAATGATGCATCATCTATATAATTTATCTCATTAGAAATTACAAAGATGATTTAAAAAAAAAAAAAAACTTTAAGGAGAGTTATCAAAATCTAAGTTGTGAGGTGATAGAAATGAAATAAACCTTGCTATATTTTTTTCCCTTTGCAGTCAGAAGGATCTGGAGAACCTCAAGGCGGAGGTGCAGAGGCGGCAGCAGCTGCAGGAGCTGGGAAAAGGCGAGGAGCCCGCTGAGGATGGCCCACTTGAACTGGAGGACAAAATCCCTGTTGATTAACATTCAGTAGCCCCAGACACAGATGCTTTCTACTTGAAGGAGAAAGAGAGAGGGAAGCTGTGAAGAAACAGCCAAGTAATGGAGCCTGTAGACCAGAAAACTAAGTAAATCAGCTTTTAAATAAACGTGGTGAGGGTGCGGTCAGAGAAGACTTGGGAAGGGGAAAGAAACATAATGTACAGACAGCCAAACATAAAAAAAGGAGTTCCCTACAGTGTAGGCGAGAGAGGGAGAAGGGGAGGGAGGGAGAAATGAATGAAATGACAGATTAAGTGTAAAAGGTGCAATCAGAATAACCCTGGACTTGAGAACATTTCGATGAAGTCCCTGAAGGTCTTGGCTGCTTAGAATAATCAGATTAAAAAAAAAATGCCTACAGCAGGGCGAGAGAGAGACCAAGAATGACCATGACATTATGTACCAGAGCCTTATCTGCTGTGACGCCATGCCCAGTCATGCTTCTTAAAAGACACACCCCCTAACTTCTCAAAGGTGCTCCGAATGAAACGGCACCAAGCCTGTCCAAGAACTCAGGGCTTGTTACTACTGTGCACTAACAGACTAGAATAAAGGATGTAAACTAGCGATTTGTTTCCATCGGGGCCTCAGAATGTAAACTCCCACCTTTATACCCTCTTTAAGTCGTGTAGCAATCAGACTTCATCGTCATACATCCCTGATCAGTCGTCCTTGGATGGTGCCCGCCGTGTCGCGCCGAGCAAACCGTCAGCACAGCAAGCTTTGAACCGATTAATTTAAGTTAATTTGGTGGGGTTATTTGTTTGTTTATGTGTGATCATCAGTAAATTAAAGCCGTGTCTATTTTATGGAAGATGTATAGAAAAGAGGAAAAAAGCTGTATAAATCTTGATTGAATTTAGGCAGGTACAGATCTCAATTACGTCCACTTTAAACCGTAGATATATTCAGATATATATAAATATATATATACTAGCTGTGTCCAATCTATTATTTTTACATTCAAATGGAATATACATGCATGTGTGTTTGACGGTGTGTGTGTGTCTTTGTGTAGCCTGGTGGGGAACAGGGAGCAGGACTGTTGCTTTCCAAATGTTTTATACCTCTGCACACATTAAATCGCTGACGCATATTTTCTTAAAACATTCATGGCCACCAATGTTGTAAATCTGCTTATGTATGAGGTTAGTTTCTCTACTTCCCACTGCACAAGCGCTCACTGTCGAGCTGTTTGTTTTTTCTTTGTTTTTTGTTTTTTTATATAATCTTTGTTCTGACTTTCAAGAGATTTGAAAAAAAAATAGCCAGATTTCACATTTGTTTTTTGTTTTTTTGTTTTTTTTTGTGCAACTGCATGACCAAAAGTGGGCAAAAGCAGGTATGATGTTGCAAAAAAAAAAAAAAGATTGAAAGAGATCTATTTGTATACATGCAATGTTTCCCATCCATTGTAATTTACTTAATTGTTGCAGTGTGTTTAGATGTGTGATTAAAGCAATAGAGAGAGGGTGGTGGAGTTTTTGATTGTTTGTAGAAATTTCGTTTTTGTTTTTAGCCTGGCACGAGTCATGCAAAATGGACCTTGTACTGTAGTAAACTTCAAGCCCTTCACAATGATTTCACCCCATCTCCTAAAACTGGTCCCATCAGTTGCAGAGCCTGTACGTGCCTCGTATTTATGCTCCTGAATGGAACTGTGATTAAGATGGGCGGACTTTAGCAGTACATAAAGCTGACATTTCCTTATTTTTGTTTGTTTTTTTTTTGTTTTTTTTCTTGAATCAGATTTTTTTTCTAGTTTCTTTGTTTATATACTTTCTCAACAATAACTCAGTGTCCAGTAGGGGGCGTCATTACACCTTTTTTTCGCCCCCTTATTTTGAGTGAAGTACAGAAATAAAGTGCTGCAGATGCACAAACAAGCACACTTTCTTTTGACAACAAATTTTGCATAAATATAACTCAAAACAGCTATCTAGAAAATCATGCAGAAATCATTACATCACAAATAGATGGGATTTAATCATAATTAAGTGAAAGTTTATTTGACAAATATGTCTAAAGTCTTCTTCCTCACCTGAAATCGAAGAATAACATTACATTTCATTTTCTGGGTAATTTCTTTAAGTGTGGAAAGTTTTATGAATGTGTAGTGGCTGAATCTACCTGGCTGTGTGTCTTATTGGTTTGATGCTCTTTACATACTAATCTTTTTTTCTTTTTTTTTTTTTGGTCTGACTTTTATAATAAATAAAAATTTATTGAAATATTTGCTTGGGGTTTCTTATAAATATGGAGATATATCTTGTGTGTGTATATATATATATATATATATATATATATATATATATGTGTGTACGAACTTTATCTAGCAGCTAAAATGGTTCCAATGAGGTCAGTGTTTCTAAGGAGTCTGGATATGAACTGAACAATGCTGGCCAAACAGTTTAGTTTCCTGGTTCTTTTTCTCTAAAGTAATCTAAGAAATCTATATTTGTATAAATGAAACAGCTTAACACTCATTAGCCCTCCTAAGCTGTTTCTTTAATAGCTATATTCTCTATTCTTCACAGCTTAGGTTATTCAGTTTTTTTGGTTTTACCTATGCATTTTAAATTTATTCAAAGTTGAGTATACAGATGTTAATCACAAGGGCAGGAAATCTGGAAAACTTATACGTTGCATATGAACTTTGTATTTCCTTATAAGATGATCTAGTTTAATATGCAACTTTATAATTTGCAAGGTGGGTTAAACTGCTTAGTAAAGAAATCGGAAACATTAAAAAGAATCTTGTTTAGAAAAGGCCAACTAGCCCTATATTAGAAGAAAATTTAAAGATTAAATGGAAAGTACTTGTTGATAGAGCAATAAATATCTATTTAAAACTCATTCATATACTAATTGAAGTAGCCCTATGATGCAAACCTTAATGTATGTCACACACTAACAAGGAAATATAACAAACAGGATTTGTATAAAATTATCTAAATGATCAAACAAAGGACTGAAGAACAGAAGTATTTTATACAGAAGCATTTTCCCTTATGTGTTATTTTCAGTGCATACTTTTAAGACTGAATAAAATTGCTAATTTGATTTTAGTACTGTTATTTTTTTTCCCCGATTTGTCAACTGCTACATAGATTTTTTTTTAAATTAGATTTTATAAAATATTTATTAAAAAAAACATGGATAATTTAGTTTTTCATCATCTTGGCCGTAAACTATATTTCGTGTTTATTTTTTAACAAATTAACCTTCTTATCCGGTATTTTATTTTTTAACAGCAATTAAGGGGTTAATTCCACATATATAAAAATAAGTAAACAGATTTTGTGTTGTCAAGGGCGTGCGCGCTCCCGTCGCTCAGTGAACGCGGCTTGCCTGCGCGCTCCTTTGCCAAGGCGACTGCAGTAGCTCCGAAAAAAAAAAAAAAGAAAAACAAGCGAGCAGAAGCAGAGGAGACAAGACGGTCCACAGTTTACCTCCACATCACAAGATCACGTTTTTGGATCAGGAAACCTCGCGCTCTGTCGGGTTGTATTAACGTCGGAGACGGTTGAGGATATAAATTAAGAGGGGTACAAAAGGGTGAGTGTTATTTCTCGTCCATAGCGGCGGCCACAGTTGAAGGAATGTGGCGTTAGGTGGGGAAAATGACGATGTGGCTGTAATTGTTGCACCTCCTTTTTATTCCTCAAAATGGCGGACGGGCCGCTTTGACTGGAGCAGCAGGTACCCTGTCAGTCGGACTTTAGTCCCGTTTTTTAGACAAACACTCGGTTTTCTGTTAAATGTTTGAAAGTGTTTCTTGTTATGCGTCTATATTAAAGCTAACCGAGCTCGTAGGCCCGTTGCTTTAGTCTCTGGGAGGCAGAGTCACTGCGGCGGCTAACTTTGTGCCGGGAGGCTAACTTTAATGTTGGTAACTTTGGCTAAGCTATCAGCTGGCAATTAATTCCGGTTACAAAAAATAAACAAACAAAAAATAAGAAACAACATAAAATGTTACCGTTTTTAAATAGATATATTTATAGATTAAAACCGCATGGTCGCGGTTAGTAAGCAGTTTTCTGTCGTGTCCCACTGTATAAACTAATTGTTTTAACGTTGGGGAGTGCTGCATGTTCCCACGGCTGTTGTAGCACCGTGTTTGCTGCTGTAAAGGGCGTGTATTGACATTCCACTGATCCCTCAGGTGGAGATGTGACCGTAATGAAACATCAGTCTTGACCAGTCACCCTGACATTACCCCCTGGGTGCTTTTCCTTAGCAGATGGTGGCTGTCAGACTGCCTGATGACGCTGAGCTAAAAAGCACCAGATTTCTTCGGGTCCCTTTTGAGAAAATCAGGGTGGAGCACATTGGTTTCTAGGGATACTCTGCACCGTGTGTCTGCCTGTTTTATATTTTATTATTTTCTATCTAGGTGTGCATTCAATATTTTGCCACTACCATAAGGAGCTCAGATGGTCGTCAAATTTGGACTGGATTTTTGCTTTTGGAAATGTGAAAATTTTATCAGTGCTCTGCGCTTTATACTCTCCTCCACGTGATTATTTAGCAGTTAATTTGTGGGAGCTATAGGGCTTGTAAGGACATCGATTTTGTAAAGCAGCATCAGAAATAAACACAGATCTTTGCTCCTCTTTCAGGTAAGAGGATTTGTTTCTTAGGGTTTAGTTGATATGAGATGGCTCAAACAGAAATATGGGCAGCTTGATTATGATCTGCCAAATGCTTTGTCTGCAGGAATGTCATATGCAACTTTAGATTGGCATTATTTTACTGTAAAATACATACAATATAAAACTTTACTTCCCCATCCATCCATCTGTATGTGTGCTGTCAAATTAGACATAAAACGATTTGAACTGTTTTGAAATGTAATATTTTGAAAATAAAGATGTCAAATAACTAATGGTCTTTGGTTTATATGGTATTACATTGAAGCTATTACAAAATCCCAGTTTTTACATCAAAGCATAAGTCTTTGCACTATTTGTTATTAATCTTATAAAATGCTCTTATAGAACAAGCTGTTGGTTGATTGGTGATACTAGTCTCAGATATGACAGCTGTCTTCATGTATGTCCGACTGTACACCATCACCCTGTTGCTTTGTTCGATTAGATAAGGATGGATCAAATGTATGTAGCTCTCGGGTTTCTTCTTAATTTTAAAAGTTTCCCCTGACTCTCTCCCAGCCATTCAAATTTACAGACCAACCTAAGTGTGATGACTGTAAATACATCATCAACAGGTTTCCCAACTGTATAGATATTAAACATTAGAAGTATGACAACTTGGGTAGCTGTAGCGGTATACTCTCAACAAATTTCTGAAACTGTGCTATTTTAGCAAAATATGTTTTATTTTTTGAAGATTGTAGAACATAACAATCTTGTGCTGAAGAGTCTTTGAACACTTGGTTTGTCATCTTAAAATACTTTTGATAAGCTGTGTTTTCACTGATATTTTTGTCAGGATTATGGCGAAGTCTTTGTACAAAGAAAGTGATTATTTGCTGTCTTGTTGCCAGGATAGAGTGTAAGTCAACCTCAAATGACTGTTTTGAAACGCTGCAGGAACATGCCATTAGTCTTAACTCGACGGCTAATGGCTTTGACAGGCTTGTTGACACTTGTCAGAGAAACTGTTTTTAGGTCTAACAGTCTAATGAGATTGTGCTCGGAAAATTATAAGGTTTTATTTGATGACTTCTCCGTTTGGGTTTAAGGCTAACTTTGAGTACTATATTTAGAAACCCCTCTATTCTTGATTCAGTAATGCTAGGAGTTTGTTGCTATAAATTTAATGATTCAGAAATATTTAGTTATGCCAGAGATGGATAAACATGTTGCCTTTTAGCTGCAGTTATGGACATTAAATAAGCTGTTGTTTCTTAGGGAGATTTCTAGACCTAATGGATGATAAAGTTGCAGAAGTTTAATGTTTAATGGACTATTTGCCATATATAATTAATTCAAGATAGACTTTTATTTATTTTTCCAACACCTGTATAATAGGCTCATGTTGTGTCATAATAATACGGTAGCTGAATAGTTGGAAAGTGTCAGCAGCATGATTTAAATCTAAAAACACCGTATTAACAAAATAATTTTCATCTTTGCTTGATAACTATTTGAATTTAAGATATATCCTTTCCTAATCCATGCGGTTCAACATGGTGTTGTCCGCCATTTGCAGTTATAACAACTTAGAGGCTGTCCACAAGGCTTAGGAGCATGTTTTTGGATATTCTTTTACCATTCTTAGAGAAGCACATTTATAAGGTCAGAAACTGATGTTAGATGCTCTAATTCGTCCCAAAGATGTTCTGTTGGCTTGAGTCCAGCTCATCCACAACAAGCTCTCTCATCTTTGTCTTTAAGGACCCTGCTTTGTGCAGGTGTGCACAGTGATGTTAAAAGATGAAGAGGTCAGAACATTACAGCATGTGGAGGACAGAAATTTGCAAAAAATCTTTTGGTATGCTAATGATTTTAGAGTTCCTTCTCAATTCAAAAATACTTATTCACCCCAAAGGTAAATAAAATGTTCCGGCAACTCATAGGGTTTTTGTTTTTTTTTTCTTGTTCCTTTTTTCCTGGCTTTTTGTAGGTGTTGATAGCTCTTGGCAGGAAGGTTCTTTACTTTATGAAGGATTCTTCTTTGTGAAATCATATCCAGTGGTTCCAGATAACCTCAATTAAAGGACCAGGTCCAGCTACTAACAGTGAACAAAACCAGCAGCCCCCAGACATTAACGCTTGGCAAAGTACAGCCATACAAGTACTACCAGTATTCTCTTGGAAACCCTAAAACCCATTTTTCCATCACATTACCAGATGGAGAACAGCTAATGGCTGCTCCAAAAAATGGCCACACCTTCACTGAAGTGACATTGGCTAATACACCTTGCATGCCTAATTTGAATGCAGTCTTGGAATGATATGAAATGAAACAGTTCTTTAATGTTTGGAGAAAAAAAAAACTCTAGTTGTATTTTCAGTATATCTGTAGTTTTGGTTCTTGTGGCGGCTTTGTTGGTTAGAACAGGTATGGACTGTTCTCATCAGATAAGTCAGCCGCAGAGAATGAGGGTCTGCCAGATTCCTGCTGTTTTAGCTGCTCGTTTTTAGACTGAGGATGACATAGTAGCAGCAGGAGAAAGAATGTGAGTCAGAGGTGACATCGGGGTCGTAACTGTCAGCCTTGCAGCGCTATGTGTTTGTGATAAGATGTTAGGAGGCAGTTTTTCTCAGGCAGCTAGTTTGACTCCAGGCTTGGTTGTCTTTTCTGCTGTCTTTAGGGGCGTGGTCTTTGTTCCCCAGACATGAAAGCATTTGTTGTTTAAAAAAACAATACACAATAAAGTAACTCTTTTCTGATATTTTGCCTACAGCAAAAGGCATTTTTATTTTACAATTTAATAATCTACACTTTGACCAATTACTTGTTTAGTTTGGATATAGAAATCATCTGTAATAGTGACACATTTAAATTAAATGTGATGTGGAAATTTTACTTTTGTTGTGAACATTTCTTCATAATTTTTTTTGACACTTTTTCCTCTCATATCACTTTTTTTTTTTTTTACTTGTTTGCATTCAGTTCTATAATTCACTTCTGAAGTCTATAACTTGAGCAGATCATATGTTGTTTTTTCAGGTTTTGACTTAGTAAAAAGAGAACTTTTGCACAGATAATGGGAGCAGGGTGTTGCCTATCACATTTATTTTATCCCTCGCTCTAAAGAAACAGAGGGCAGTTTCCCACCATTTAAACCAGAGCTTTAACAACAGATAACCTCCAGGGATGGATCAGCAAATTGCATCTTACTAAAGCAGCATCATCCCTGTGAAAGATTCTCATTGTTTGGTTCCCGCTGCTACAAAAAAATCAATAGAAGAAGATTCATTTGGGTTATTAACCATCAATGGACAGATTTACTGCTCTGTCTCTGCAGCTCAGGCTTGTCTCCCTGAAAACTCAATACTTGTCCAAAGCCAATTAGCTTAATGTCATTGTAAAAAAAACATTTTAAATTTTAGAGCAACAGCTAATGGCACTTATCACAATTATCCATGAGAACATCAGTGATGGTTGCTTGGAATGTATTGCAATACTGTATTCTCTTTATTTCTGCTCATTCACTGCTGTTATATTTAACCAGCTTCCAGAAAACCCATTTGGACAGCTGTTAGGAGGGCAACTGTTATACCAGGCTTTTTTTTTTTTTTGTAGGTGGCCTTATTGTGTATATTTGACAAACAAATGTTTTTTTGTCATTAGTTCATCCAGATGTTTGACCCAACATCTTCCAGTTTGGAATGTCGGCAGGATTTCCTGGATAGACACATACTCCATATCTACAGGCTTTTAATAAGTCAGCCTTCATTACTGATAATAAAAGTTTTATGAATTTCTTTTTGGACTTTAAAGTGTACAGTTGTACATCTGGACATTGTCCTCAGCTGGAATCTGACATCTCAAAGCATTTTTTTTCCTACATGGTGATTTGAATGTTCTCTAGGTTGTCCTCGTATGCATGTGTGTGCTTGCATTGTTGTTAGCTGCAGGTGTTTCTTCCAGATCTCATTAATATTTTCATTGTTACCTTTATGGTGTATTTAAAACATATATCCAGATAGTTCAAACAGGTCAACTTAAATCCTGCTAACTGTCTAACTGACTGGGCACTATTGAAATGACCACAAATGGTAGAGGGTATTGCTTACAATGAGGATGTTGCACCAAATTTGACAAAGTCCTTTTGTCACCCAGTCAGGCGGCTGTTCTGATTATGTGATATTGGGATTTTTAAGGTCAGGAGATTTAGCCAACAGCATAAGTGTTACTGTATCCTCTATACCTCTGTACTGGTTTTTGCTCTTTTTTACTGAAGCTAACCTGTGGTGACAAGTATATCTCTTTAAAAAAATGTAGGTCACTGCTGGTATGTATTTGGAGAGAGGCTGTGGTTGTAAGAGAAGGATGCTGGCAGGGCAAGTTAGGAGGGTAGATAAGAAGAGGCACCGACTGTTGATTTGTTTTATAAATCCTCTGAATTTTTTGTTTTTTATTTTTTGTTTTATGGTGCCCACCTCTGACATCAACTTTGGACCTAAAACATGATTGTTCCTCATACACTTCATGTTTTTTTTTTTTTCATGCATATCTAATGCTGATTTTTCATTCCCTGTTCTCTCCAGATGCGGCAAATTTGAGTGGTGACGGATCTCCACACACTCCACTTTTCTCATCTCTGGAGAAATTCAAGTTGGAGGGGGGGGAGCAGAGTCCTGCATTCCCCTCCTCATAATCTGAGTCTCTTTGGGAAAGAATCAACGGCCTATACCTGGATAAAGCGGTCCATCCTCTGTCATAACACCTGGCTCAGCACAGCTCATCTTTCGCCCGAGGATCCCAAAGTCTGCAGGATACTCACTTTTGACCTGCTGGTCCCCCACCAGGCCCCGTCCTAACTCCCTCCCCCTTCCCCGCCACCATGGTGCTGTCACAACGGCAACGAGACGAACTGTAAGTTATTGTGCCTTTACTGGGATATAGCTGACACTATCTTAGATGGAAACCACAGTGTTTGCCTCTCATAATGGCTCATAAATTGTCACCCCTGATAAGCGCTCACAGACCCATGTTTTCGGTAGAGATAGATCGATACATCGGCCAGCATGTATCAGCAGTCTTTTTTCATGCATCGGTATCAATAGAAGAACGAAATTATCTGTTTTTGGTCTTTATTTCTTGAAGATTAAACACAGCTAATATGAATCTGTTCTATTCTGAACATTTTTGCTAGCATGCTATAAGCCCACCTCCTTAAACTTGTCTAATCAAATCTGCAGTTGCTTCTGATTTGAACCTTCTGTTTTTCTTAACACAAGCGCTTATGGTAATCTTTTTAGACACATTTGTATGTACAAAGAAAACATTCAGCAGAATATTAACTTATTGTTAGCTCTTAAACTCTATGAACAGTTGATATTATTTATTCAAAGGACAAACTATTCTTTGTTAGGTAAGGTGATTTATTGATTAAGGATTCAGTTTATTTTAGGACATGGGAAATAAGTTTATTTACCTCTTGTGAAGGAATCAATGGGTGGTTGATGTTTCCGGAGCTATCCTGAGGCCAGAAACTAAAAGCTATGGATCCCTCACTGTCGCCAAGTAACGTGGGGTTTACTGTTGACATCTTACTGATACAACCCGAGTTGCTCAAAGTCCAGTGCTGCACCACTGTGTTGTAACAAAGGGGGAAGCAGTGGACAGAAAATTAAAAAAGGATTTTTGCTTTTAGTGCTGTTAATTTTGGCGTTCTATACACTCAGCCATCCTTTAGAAAAATGTATAAATTAAAGAAGCCTAACCTGGAATTTGATGATACGGTCCCTCTGAAGTTTACTTTAAATTCTTGTTTAATCATTTTAAGGAGAAAAATAAACTAAATACTTCAGATATACTTAAAATTCACTTTCAAACACCCCTTTTTATAAGGCTTTACACAAGAATATTACATGTTTGTGTTCAAGTGGATGTAAGGTTATCAACATCAGCAGTTTGCCCTTGTTCATTTACCTTTGTTTCCTGGTCTCTTAAACAGAAGCTACAAAGTAGCAACTCTTAATGCCTTCCTGCAGGTTTCCTGATTGTTGGAATTGTGATTTTTGGTGTTAATACAGACAGGAGTGACCATAGCAAGGCAGGCCATCAACAGACAAAGACAACTTTGTTGTTTTATGAAATTTCATTTATTTATGTTTAACTTTAGTTATTTTAATCAATTTATTTCTTCTATTCATAGCACTAAGAGGCTATCGATGTGAGTTGCTGTTTAAAAATTATTTAGTTACACGATTATTTTTAAAATAACTTTTATCATTATTACTACCAACTCTAAGGCCAAGTAGAACTGACAGCAGAACACCCGCTCTGCTCTTTTAAGTGAAGAGGAAACACTAGTTTGCATGTCTTCATATTTAATATCAACTTTTGCACGTACAATTAATTTAGTGTTGTTTATTTAGAAACCATTTAAGGTCATGCCCTAAGTCATGTAGGGAACTATGTACCTTATTTATTTATTATATCATATTTGCTTATCTTTTGTGTACAACTACATTCTTCCATTGGTCTATCAATTTGCTAATTGTAATAATACATTTACTACTGGGAGACGTATAAAGAATCATTCTCTCCATACAACAAACATGGTTCTGGCACATACCAATTAAACCTAACAGTGCCACTAAGGATCTGTTCAATGCAAATGTACATGGCATCAGCCCTGTACATCTCATCTTCCTGATAATTTTCTGATTCAGTAATTAACTACAGCAGCAGGGTATCAACAGAACTTTTTTGTTATCAACATAACAGAGCTTGGAATCCTGAGGTGCTGAGTTTGAGCCCCACCCCCACATACTGCCACTCTGGGTCCCTGAGCAAAGACCCTTAAACCCACACTACTCCCCGGGCACCACACAATGTCAGCTCACTGCTCCCCAAGGGGATGGGTTAAATGCAGAGAGTTTATTTCATTTCTCTGTACTATTGACAGTGTAATGGCAATAAAAAGCTGGGATAAAAATAAAAAGCTGGAAAAATGCGGTACTGGAAGCAAACTGACAGAATATTGTTTATGGGCTGTCTGTCTTTCAAACTTAGGACAGCTACCATTAGCTTATGGAATCTGGAACAGTCAATTTTGGGTAAAACTGAAGGTTAATTATTTCATGCTTAGCATGTGGCGCCCCTAAGTATTTCCTTTTTTCTTGTCCATCTACCAGATAGGACAAGTCTTTCCAAACAATGCTTTTTTTCTTGCACATAAAATGGTTATCGTATTTTCACGACCATAAGGCGCACCGTACTAAAAGGCGCAGTCCCAGTTATGTGTCCCATTTCTGTATTTAACACACACATAAGGCGCACCGGACTATAGGGCGCGTTTTTTATATACAGGTACATGTCCTCTACTACCTTTAAATACCTCTACTGCATATTTAAAAATACAGCGGGCCCAAAACTGAGTATGATTGTGCTTTATTCATGTATTTATTACAAAGTATTAATCAAACTTGGGAGCTGGCCATGAGACAGACACATCGCAGATGACACAGCGCTGTGATCACTCCTAAATTAACTTAAAATCCTGAAACCTGCCGACGGAATATGTTCGCTTTTATTACCGGTATCCTGGTGCCTGCAGCTGAAATTATTTAGATGAAAAACACCTGCCAGCCACTGCATGAACCCGGAGGCTACCCAGCCTAGAGGCTGCTGATGAAGGGATTTCTGCTGTCGGTGCACCGCTGGTATGTGGGGGTCTGAGCGCCTCCGACAGAAATAGATAATCTGGATGAACTGACTGCAATTATTAAGTTTTCAGGTGGACTTTCTCACTTAAAAACATATTAAAACTACTTTATTCCCACTGATCACAGCAAATATAGCTGCAAGATTTAGATTATTTAGATGAAAAAACACCTGCCAGCCACCGCGGTGAAGAGGAGGAGACCCGCCCAGAGGCTGCTGTTGAATTAAGTTTTCAGGTAGAAAAATAGAGCGGGAGCAAAACTGAGTATGATTGTGCTTTATTCATGTATTTATTACAAAGTATTAATCGAACCCATCAAAGTCATCATCCTCTGTTTCTGAATTAAACAGCTGCGCAAAATCAGACATGCCAGTTTCCCCTTCTTCGCTGTCAGTCACTTTCCGTGCAGCGCGGCTCCTCAGAAATAGCTAATGCCGGCTTTTGCAAAAGCTTGAACAACAGAGCCAGCAGACACGTTAGTCCAAGCATCTACAATCCATCCTCAAACGGTGGCGTAACTTGCCCGGCGCTGCCTTCCACTTATCCTGAAACTGTGGTCTCAGTCTGTCACCCATCGCTCCCACGCCGCTCGCAGCCTTACTTTGAACGGCCGGTTCACACCGATGTCGAGCGGTTGAAGTTCCTTTGTCAGACCCCCGAGATAACGGCGAGCACGGCGTTTATTTTTTTTCACCATGTTTTTCACATCGGCTGTGAGATGGGCACGCAGCGATGGTGATGCGTGGAAAAAAACACCTGTTCTCCTCACATACCTGCCTCAGCCAAGCTTTAATCATCTCCTCATCCATCCAGCCCTTTCCATTTGCCTTAATATGTCATCAGAGCGATGTGTCGTCTCACAGCCAGCTCCCAGATCAGCTTCTCTGATTCGTTGATGCGGCGCTTCCAGCAGCAAAACTTAAATTTTTCCATCTCGAGCAGCAGCAGCGCGTTGGCGGCACGCTCCCGAAGCGCTGCGCCTGCTGCTCAAAACGCGCTGCGGGATCTTTTGCTGCACCTGTACGCTCGTCAACCGTTGACTTTGCATGTAAACTCGCTGCTTCTGCTGCACCTGCTGCGTCCGGTTCACAGCGAGCACAGCATTCATTTGTTTCACCATGTTTTTCACATCAGCTGTGAGATGGGCACGCATGGAGTCAGATTAACAGCGATGGTGTGGTGATGAGTGGAAAAAAAAAACACCTGGTCTCCTTACATTCAGCCACTCTTTCATCATCTCCTCAATGAGGTGGTCTCAAAAGTCGCACTTGCAACACACATAGGGCGCACCGCACCAAAGGGCGCACCGCACATTTTGAGGGGAAAAAAAGACGTTTATGTGCGCCTTATAGTCGTGAAAATACGGTACGTTGTTTGTCTTAAGCCTACTAAACTAGCCCCACCCCTCCAGCGGCCAAAATCATTTTTGCCTGCGAGTTTGGTCTAGCCTCGATCAATGCCCCAGGCCCTAGACCTGGCTGGCCAATCACAACACAGAGATGTTTTGAATTTATTGATGCAAAGCAGGCGGTGTTTTGAGGGCGTGGCGACAAATCTGCATGACGCTGGAGAAAGAACAACAAGGAAGATGGCAACAACTATTGAACAGTTCTCGTTTTTAAGAAGGACATATTCCCTTTTACCGACAGGCTGTTTGTTTACACTCCCCTGCTAACTTTCTGCCGTGCTTCCTACGTCAGTTGCGCTCATTGGTCAGAGCGTTGGCCAATAGGCACAGACATGGTTTGAAAGACGACGGGTTGTTCTCATCAACAATCTTCGGATCAGGGCCAGACTAAGTTACACATTTAATCTCACATTTGGTCTGGTTTATCAGGCTAGTTTGTCATGGCTTTATCCGACATGTTTTTAAACCTTTCATCTTCCAGTATAAATATGGTCTGCTGAAGCCGCAGGGAGCAGAAGGAATCAGCCATTATTGAGGTCGTGCAGACGTTTGTGAATTGGTCATTCTGTATTTTGAATAAATCATTTCAGGGATTCAATTATTTTAACAACCCTACATGGGATATAGTAGGAATTAATCTGAAATTGAGAGGAGTAGAAGGCTTTATTTTATTTTGTTGTTTTGTGTTTCACTCTATCAAAGAAAAATGCTCAAACGTTCACATGACGAGGCACTTCACATTCCTGACAATGTTTCAGTGTTTCTGGGGGCCGTTGCCTTGCAAGTGTCTGT